GTTTGCTAAAACCTTGGAGGCACATGCGCACCTAATTTATACAGTTTAACTCGTTACCTTATTATATCTCCGACGTAACTTCCGGCGGAGAATTACACGCCGATGATTACACAACCCGCCGCATCCCGGCGGATGTCATTCTTATACATGTGGAATACATAATAAAATGCGCCTGTATCCTCGCGCGATTAAATAAACGAGCGCGGCGCGAATACGAGCGAGCAGAGTGAAATCAATTAGGACCAATTAGCGTATAATTGGTATACGGGGTGAATACGTAAAATCGAGAGCAGAGTTATAATCATTCCCTCTGAAATTCAGGCTGGATTTTCTCAGGATGATTCAATGAGCCACTTTAAATGACATATGAAATTCAAAAAAGAAATCTTCCAATTGTATGACAGATTTTTATTGCTCTTTCAATTTTATTAAATTATGAAAAAGTTGAATCGCAATAATTTCTTAATATTTTGACAACTATACATGTATGCCCGGGAAAAAAGTTATTTAAAAATTATATAAAAAAGTTTATATTAATGTTTATTATTACGCATTAATTTATAGTTATATACATTATTATTATATTATTATATTATATTTATGTTATATATTAATGTATATTATTATATTATATACATTACTGTTACCTTATTATTATATTATAGTTATATAATTATATTAATACATTCCATTATTTAGTACAAACAGTCATTGATCGTTTTGACGAAAATAGCGTTGTTACGGATTATCGGAATTTAATGGAGCTACGAGGAACATATCGCTGTCTTACTTAACTTAATGGAAGGCGAAGTCGCGCTTTCGTGAGAGCGATGATAATTCGGAATTCACCGTCGAAAAGCAAGCCTTTCGCGGCTGCATCGATAATCGATATGACCAATTTGAAGAACACAGGGTCGGGATATTTTCAGCATTCCTCACCTTCCTAGCGATGAAGTATGCAGATATCATGCCCTTTATAGAATCTTATTATAGCCCAGCTCGCGCAAGTTGCTTACAGCTTAAATATGTTCCTCTCTGTATGGGATATTGCAAAATAATCGTATTTCCTTTCAGCTGCGGAATGTTTGCGACCTGCACCGTCGAGTTTTCTTTAATAGGAATTTCATCGGAGATTATATCGCCATTTTTCAATTTTTACATTTTAAATTAAATTTCCGTGCTTAAAATAAACTTCGCTCGCTCTCTCTCTCTCTCTCTCTCTCTCTCTCTCTCTCTCTCTCTCTCTCTCTCTCTCTCTCTCTCTCTTTTCAAATTAACGATTTGCATTAAAATTGAAAAGTTAAATTGCAAATTATAAAAACACAGCGCAGCGGTAAATATATAGTTTTATAACAAAAAAAAAAGAAAACAAATAAATAAATAACTGCGTGCAGTTAAAGGCAACTTTCTCTCTGGTAATTATATTTTTCGCGTATGATATTTTACTTAATCTAGTTTCGTTTCATTGCGAATATTGTACTTGTCTCTGCCTCACAGCTTTCAAATATTTATATTAACTGACGTTGTTCAGTAGAATAATTGAATTAAATGCAGCACGAAAAATCCACCTAGCGACCACAACCACGTTGTTAGTTGATTTTGTATACAGAGCGATCCAATCAGTTCTATTTTCCTATATAAACAAAATCACGTTTTTCTCGATATACTGGACAAGAATGAGATCGATACATCGGGGATCGTACTTGTAACGTAACGGTAACAAGCTTAATCTAGGCTTAATAGGGAGAATTGCCGATCGCGATAAAACTTGACAGAGATAACGTGCGTTATTGAAGACGAGATAAAAGGTGGACGTTTAATCAATATTCAATTTATTTTAATGACAAATTTGAGTATGTCACTGTCACACGAGACGAAGAGTTAATCTAAAGTACGAACGGAACTCAGTTATGCAAATTGATTTAACCGTTTGGAGGGCTTTTAGTTCTATTCCGCAAGCAGCTATTTGAAGTCCCTGTGTCAACATAACGAGGATCTCTCTTTCTCTTTCTCTCTCGCTCTCTCTTTCTCTTTACGAAACAATGTAGTTAGATATTAATTGTTACTGGCCCCTCCAACGTAGGAAATGGGAAATGGTATCCTTTACAACTCAGTTCTGCCACAATTCGGGCGGAAATTCTTGCAATTTCACGGCAGCAGTCGCACGTGGCGTTATAGACGGGTCGGATATCATTATTGCCATTCTCACATTTATTTGGCCTCGAAACGTTTTACAAAAAAAAAAACTTACGATGCTGCGAGTATTTGTTCTATCTACAACTGGAAATTAATCATGAAACTAGCCATTGTTCTGATATATTATTATCAAAATGGGCAACAATAATGGATGTTAAATTATATGACAATTGAAGGGAATTTATTTCGCATAAACTGTGTATTTTTCTCTCTGACATTCGAAACGAGATATTGTTTTTGATATTTCTAGTTGTGTTTACTATTTATTTTGTTTATGTGCTTTAGCTTCATTCAATCTAGAAAATCTAGAAATAGAAAAAGTAACCGCAAATTTTAAATTAATAAAAATATTTCTTAATTAAAAATTCAGATACGTTGTGTATTCAAATACATGTATAAAGTTAATCGTTTTCCGTTCCATATATCCATGCAATTTCTATAACATTCTATAGATTCAATTGTTGAAAAATGATGAGTATGTAATTATGAATTATCTTTTTAGAGAGAAATAATTATTTATATTTTATATTTTAATATTTTAATATTCCTTTTTTATCTATTTAATTTCCTTTTTTATCTTCCTCTAGCTTTTTTAATTTGTACATTAAAATTTAAAAAAATCAAGAAATTAAGATTGAGCTTTATTAAGGTTTCAACGTCCGCGTATAATTAAGAAATCGAACTTATTTACTGCCGTTTATACAGGTAAATTACAACGCTTTCGCTATGCATTGAAACGTTTCCACTCAAGTGCACTAAGTGAAATCGCCATTTACGAAATAGCCGAGTACGATATGTTCGCGGGGAGGATAGCGAAAATTCGCTCGCAATTGCACGTCGGAAATAACGTCGCTCTCCCGTTTCGAATCCAAAAATGCAAAATTTCACGGATCGCTGCACGCAGAAATCATGGTAAATGCCGACAGAGTCGGCGAAAAGAACGGGGCTATGCCGTCCCGAAGAATGCAATATCCGTTAAAGGAAATTTGTTATCAGCGCGACTGTGAACGCATCGTAATTCTTGCAAATCAAGAATCGATACCGGCCAACTATCGAAAGAGGGGGACTCGAACGCGGTTTGTTATATACTGGGTGCTCCCGGACCTACGATAACATTATTCAGTCATGCGAAGCCTAAAAATAATGGCCACACTTTCTCAAGAATCCAGACAATTACATTGAATCTCAACGATTGTAAAACCACTATTTTCACGAGCTAAAAAGATTATAAATGTGAATAATCTTATTCACATATATATATTAAATTCTAATATTCTAATAACTTTAAAATTTTAATAACTCGTGAATTTTTTTCTCTCAAGTTAAAAAACTTTCAATTTTTATAAAGTATTTGTATAAATATTCTATTAAAATTTTCTTTTATATATATATAATAATCTAAGAGAGAAAATTTTAAGAGAATACCAAAACTTTAAAAAGTAAAATAATAAAAAATTTTTTAACTTAAGAGAAAACAATTATACAGGGCGTTTCTTAATAAGTGCAAACAATTTTAGGAGATAAAACTTGTCGAAAATTAAGGGAGATTTTTCACATGAACATTAAAAAGTTTCAATAAAAAATTGAATAGGAGTTGCTAGTTTCATGCCCTTATAACAATACTTAGGAAGGCTGAATAAAATATTAATAAAAAATAATTAATAAAATATTAATAAAATATTAATAAAATATTAATAAATAATCTTTTTACTAGTAGAAAATATCCATCTAATTTTATTTCTCTAACTTGTTCCAAATTTGAGAAAAAAAATAAAAACCTAATGAAAAATCGTCCTTAATTTTCGACAAAGAATCATCTCCTAAAATTTTTCGCACTTAGAATTAAGAAACACCCTGTATATAAAATTTTATATTTATATATATTTATATTCAGGAAAAAAAATTTTAATAGAATGTTTATACAAGAGTTTTACAGAGAATTTTAATAGAATGTTTATGAGAGTTTTGTAAAAATCTGAAAAGTTTTAAACTTGAGGGAGAAAGAATTCACGACGAGTTATATATTATAGATGCAGGACCACTTGAGACACACCATGTGTATCTCGCACAAAGCAGTCGCTATTACGTTTTATGTTAGAAGAAGGATTATTGCGCGCGCGGGTAACACGAGTCGAGAATCAACGGAAGATATATTGCACGCATAATCGGCTTCAGCGCGCGTATGCGTGCTGAATTATGCATTAGGAACAGGGAAGCAAGAGGAATCTGATTTCAAACATTAAATGTTATATTCTGCAAAAAAAGATGGAGAGGGAGAATAGCAAGGACACGAGAGAAATTTTGAAAAAATTTATGACGTACCTTACTTTCATCTTATGGTACATCTTTCAAGGAGTCCGCCTTTCTCGCGTTTACGCCTTTTCGCCCTCTTCTTCTTACATACATAATAAATTCCTTTATTTCCCTACCTTGTAATCCCCTCAAGTTCTATTACTTTTTCTTCTTGGCGCTTTAGCGGCATTTTATTATACATGGCGAGAGGAGAAATCTATTTTAAAGGTGCACCATACATTAAGACTGATACTAATTAGAAACAGATGTTGGTTTCCATTACCAGGAGCTACTCTTGAATTACGTAAAAACGGATGGTTATAGTTTCTACTATTAATCTAATTTCGATAAGTGGCGCGGGGGCGCGTTCTCCCCTATAAGAGGGGGAGAAACTTGCCACCCTCGAGACGCGCAAGTCGCTCGCTCGAGTCTAATGTAAGCCCACCTTAACACGTACAGCTTAATCGCACCCAGAGTTTAATCGCAAAACGTGTTTGATTTATCGTTCGCAGGGGCACCAGCGGTATCGACATAGACCTACGGCGAGTAGACATAGATCAGTGCCCGTTGCCGGTCGGATCCACGCAGCTGAACATATTCGCCGCCAGCGACAAGTGCAAAAAGCGCACCACCGAGGTAAATGCTAATGTCTCGTCGCGCTCTGCCTCCCCCTCGCGCCACCCCCTCGCTCGAGGATCGATGTTTCCCGCGAGTGTCCTTCCGGGGCGCGCGCTTAAACACGCCGCACCGAATGGAGAACAAAGCCACCGGGGGAATGTTTTTCCACGTGACGACCGGCTCTATTTGTAAATGCCACTCTCGACCCCTATCGCGCGAAAGAAGGAGAGAGAGAGAAAAAGAAATTGTAGCGGTTCTTCCGCCATGCGATTACTCGCGCAGCGTTTTTGTCGCCATTTTTGTCACCCTCCGGTAATAAACCGAGCGAGCGTTATCATGTGCTTTATTTTTCATAAATTAAAAACTCGCAAGAAAATAACGCGCGCGGTTTCGAAATGTGTGTTGGAGTTAAGATCTTTACAAAGCGCCGAAATTATTGGGCAGCATCTGCGCTTCTTAGGACGTTAGGATTAACATTTAAATTGTATATTGCGTACATTTTATCATGTCAATTGCAAAATTTCTTTCGACAAGTTTCGTAAAATTTTTGTCATGCTAAAAGTTATAGGGCTGTTAATTTTTCTCTATAATGCTTTATAATTTTTATAATTATTTTATAATTATAATTTTTCTCTTTTCAATTTTCCATATTTTTTATACTTATTTCATTCAATTTTCCATATTTTTTATACTTATTTCATTCATATATTTATCTAATTTGATTTATGGCTTTCTTTGTTATGGGGGTTAATCGAAGTTTGCTTAGAAGTTTTCTTTTACATAAAAGTGCAGTAATATACGCGAAAATTTATGCAAGATGTAAAATATGGAATTGTATCAATATTATTCGATCTCTTATGTAAACGTCACGTTTTTCCGATCGCCGGCTACAATAATTTGTTTTATGAACGAAAAAAGAATTTAGAGAGAATGTTTCAAATAGGCTTCATCTTATCGCGTAAACCGCGAACTCATTCGCGGAGAAAAACAAGTATGTTTTTTTTCTTAAATGATAGTACAAAAAAATCATATTTCATGATTTTTTATCTTTTAAGTTTTGATGACTATTTCATTTTTTCCATTAGCTCAATAAAATTTTAATAGTTTATTATATGAACACAAGTAATATACATATAACATTACAACACAAAATCGTTTCGACCACTGAAAATGTAGTTGTTTAAACAAATGGAACCGTGGTTTAGTCATAAATTTCTGTTTTATGGACCATAACAGTTTTTAATTATGGCATTTTTTAATGTTGCGTCGCTCGTTCCTTTAAAAGAAGGTAATATCTACATCAATATGCATGAAAGATAATGCATTTCAGTTTTCACGTTACATGCAATCCCATCTAATGAAATATGATCAGTTCTGTTGCTTTCAAGTAAGAGTATATCCTCTTAAATTTAGTATTCCTCTTTAAATCCTAAATAAAATTTTTTTCCAATTTTCGAACATTTAATTATTAAATTTTTGAAAATTTAGATTTCGATTAGAATTTAGATAGATTGAAAATTTAAATTTGTTTGACACTCCTGATTTGGAGACTCAATTAAATTGTCTACGGTAATCAATAAAACACGCTTATAACTTTATACATAAGTAACTTATGTGCGCGAAATAGTTTGATTAAAGTGAGACTTTAACTTTAATTTTTGAAATAAATCTGTTAAAGCTTTTTAAAATGTATAAATGACGAAATATATTTGGTTGACCAAGAGAAACAACTTTTGTTCGTTCTCTCAGGCGAAAAGTCAGCGAATAAATTTGTTGGAAACAATTTCGATGGATTGTCGAACATAATTACCTTTAACAAGGACAGAAAATTCGACATATCTAAGATTGATTAGATGCGATTAATCGTTGGTCCTGTTCGCTGTTCGCAGTGCATCGCCATCCCCGGTCTTGGTTTTCGCCGTGGTAGTTATCGATGCGTTTGCAAACGAGGCTTCTACTACCCGGACACGAAATCGGACAAGCGGTACTACAATGGCACCGTCATAGAGGAAGAGTACGAGAAATTGATGATGGTGAGTGGTTTAAAGCCGAACTGAGCATGTAGAAATAGCTTTGCTCCACTTTATCTGCTTTCCACAGGTCAACTAGTGCTGTCCTCGATATAATATTACTCCATTTCCTCTCTCTCTTTTCTCGCATAATTGAAAATTATTTTATCATGGGGAAATTATAAGCCGATAAAAATGTATTGAAGAGGTTTCGTTTCGATCTCATCAAATTTCAATGAGCGTTTGTCGTGGTTCTAATGGCACGGCTCTTTTCACAAAGCAGTCGATTAGTTGAGGTTCACAGTAAATCGATAGAAGATTCTGTCATTAAAGTTTAATCCAATAGAAATGCAACTGCACAACCAGTTTACGAATACCTACAAAGAATTGATTGTCGATTAAAAAATAATTTATGAGAATAAACAATTTTTTTAAATCTACGAGTTGATATTCGCAAATAAAAAATCGCGATAAAATGATAAATAAAACATATGTGATTACACGTAAGATTTAATTCGTCGTTGATTTATACGCAAAAAAAAGAATAGAATCTGAAAAAGACTTCAATCGTCGTCAGATCGCGTTTCATTTTTCCAATTTCTCAATTTTGGCTTCAGAAATGGGATCGCAGAATGGATTGTCGTGAAGGAATTGATTCTCGATTAAAGAACAACTTGAGAAAAATAAACATGACAAGATGTGAACAATATGAAAAAAATAAACAATATTTTTTAAATATTTTTTAAATAAATTAAATAAATATTTTTATTTAAATATATTTTAAATAAATATTTTTAAATATTTTTTTAATAAATTTTTTTAACCTACAAATTATATTAACAAATAAAAAAATATATATACGTAAATAAGATATATTTGACTACACAAAAAAGAGAAGAGAGACTGAGAAAGACTCGGTCGTTGTCAGATCGCGTTCCACTTTTCCAATTTCTCTATTTTGGCTTCGGACCTTCGGAAATGGAATCGCAGAATAGATTGTCGCGAAGGCGCAATTAAATCTGGTTCCAGCAGCAATGTTACAGCGCGTTACGACGAACGGTAAAACGCGCATTCTATTTACGACGACGGAGAAACAGCGTCGTCTTTTTTTTTTACTCCAGCACACATGGTTTTCCGTCCAGCCTTCGGGCCAGCCGTCACTTTCGTGCCCGTAGAAGCAAAATGGATATCGACAGCGAGGCGCGATGGAATCGTCTATTGTCACCGTGTGTTACGTATCTTTTGTGATTTGACGGGCATTTCTATCGCGCTCGGCGACAAAACCATTTTGCAGTCGCCCTCCCCCATCAGTAGTTGGCGCGACCGTTTGTAACCGCGACGGTTACAATGGGTGACATCTCCATCGCCGAATATATATCCTTAATAACCGGGAGCTTGGATATTAACGACGTGTCACCATTTTTTTGGATGGACACCGTGGCTGACGCGCGCATTGTCGGTTTGCAAGAACGCCGGGGGAGGAAGAAGCTCAGAAAAATTATCATCCCTTAGCTCTTCTCGCGCGAAACGCCCATTAAAAAGGAGAGAAATCGGAAATTACTATGTTTTTAATCGACGAAATGTGTGTATCTTGTATATTGAAAGACATTTCGAAAATTTTTAGCAATAATTTGAAAATGTTTTTCTTTTTTTTTTTTGTAAAAATCGATGATACAAATTTCCTTCATGTTATCCTTGTCGCAAAAAATACATATTTTATAGATAAATGTTTGCCATTTTATTTTCTAAATCACTTTTCGACATGCATCGATTCCAATTTATCTTCAGGCGTTTATCACGAATTTTGTCTGAAAATATATATAAAGAAAAAATTATATAGTCAAATGAGCAGAATTATTAATTATTATTAAAGCCGCAATTGCAATTCAAAATAAATTACAAAATTTATACATTTTAAAATTTAATTTATATAACATTTATATAACATTTATATAACATTTAGAAAATGTTTAGATTCGAAAAATCGATTGCGTTAAGCACGTTTTTTCTAGAGATAAGAGACATCTTCCCGTCTATTTAACCTCGATAACTAATTCTGAAGAATAATAGTTATCACGTATTGCATCCCTTCGCAAAGTACTATCATCTCATCGTAAGGAAAATAATTTCACGCTTTTCAACAGGGCGAAAAGAGCCAATATGCCGAGAGTGGAGTGTTCGAATGCTTGCCGTGCGCCGAAGGATGCGAGTCCTGCGAGGACGGCTCGCCTTGCGTCGTATCCCTCAACTGGCTGATGCGAACGGCGATACTTATCCTGGAGTGCTGCATCATCGCTTGCCTGCCAGTCGTCGTTCTTTTTACATGGAAATATGGGCACGTGAAGGTAAGAGCCGTAACTCTCTATAATGGAGTTTACTTAACTACGGATGACATCGTGTCCGTTCTTGAAAAATAGCGCGGAGACGTTGCCTTTCAAGGATATAACGCCCTATATCCGCTCTTTTAATTATTAAAAGATAATATTACATGTATTTTATAATATATAATTACATAATAATTATTAATCTATATAATTATTATTTTTAAATATATGTATATATATATATATATATATATATATTTTTTTTTTTTTCGATAAATAATCGCGAGAACCCGGGAATCAATATTAAAGCGCTCTTTTAATCTTTCCCTCCAGAATATATATCTCTTTAATAGTTTAAAGCAAATACTGCTTTTTAATTAATAGCCATGTTAATTAAAAGGCAGTATTTATTCAAAAGAAGCAAGAGTAATGATAAAAAATTTCAACTTGTATGTCTTTAAAGATCCTATCATTACGCGAGAGAAAAACGTTGCTCCCTGCTCGCGCAAACATGTCGAAATCTAATTTCTGTATTTTGAAAGTTTACACGAAGTCCCTAAGTATATAAATCACGGTTAGAACAAAAGCATCGAGAGGACAAATATGAAATGTACTTTGGAAATATATCCCGCGTTTGAATCGATTCGCACGAAAACACGAGTCCATAAATTCTCAAACTACTAATAGAATCTATTCTAGAGGAGCGTATAAGTTTCTAGTCCACAGGCTAACGGCAAAAGCCCATGATATCCATAATGAAATATCTGCGTGGATGTCATTTCGTTCAAAACCTATAATTTAGTGAGAGCCACGTAAGACCACATAATTGGATACCCGATATCGTTCTACTTAAATTGACATTTTGAGGATATCATGCAGAAACGAGATAATCTTGCGAAAATTCGAAAAAAAAATACGTTCTAAATCTCGTTCAAATTTTGCTTAAAAATATGTATCCGATGAATTATCTCACATTTGCATATCGCTGTCGAGAAGTAATTTCTCTGTATAATTTCTATTCTTGGATTTCCAACATGTCCCGACCCGACCGACCGCTTCATTTGCATGAAACGTTTGAAACGTCGCGACAAAAGCACGGAAGTAGCGTCACGTTACGGATAATCTTAATAGCCGATCGAATAAATCGGGGTTAACACGTTAATCTGGTTCAGCTTAGATCAGCCTCCGATATCTCTCGTGATCGTTCGAAAAGCACTTATCCCAGGTGTAAAGCCACCGGAAATTGTGTACGAGGGTCCCTTTAAACGATATCTGATGAATGAGTGTGTCTCCCGACTCCAATAATTATGTACGACGCTTGTATATTTTGTGGTTGTAGATATGCGAGAGATTGGAATTTATTCGAATACATCAATCTCCACGATATACATTATTTATTTTAAATAATTATTCAAGCATTCAAATGATTCCATTTTTTATTCAATTAAATTAAATTATTTTAAATTATTTAAATTAAATTATTTTAATACATATTTAATATATATTTTAATATATTTTTAATATATATTTTAATACATATTTTAATTTTAATATATATTTAATATATATTTTAATATTAGATATTAATAATTTAGTATTAAATATTATAAATATAATATTAATTTAGTAAATATAATATTAATTTAGTACTAAATATAAATATAATAATGAAAATTATTTAGTAAAAAATTTAAAATATTTATTTTTATATTAATAATTTAGTACTAAATATTATAAATATAATATTTAGTACTAAATTATTTAGTACTAAATTATTAATATGAAAATAAATATTTTAAATTTTTTACTAAATAATTTTCATTATTATTCGTTATTTATGATAATTTATTCGAAATACTAAATTATATATGCGAATAATTCGATATTTATTTTCAAATAATTACCTATTTACTCTCAAGTTTTGCGAAACAGGCGGATACGAATATGAAATTCAACACGAATAGATCGAATGGGTAAATAAATACGCGGGGTATAGAGCTTTGGTTGTGAACGCCCTTGCATTCAGGCAAATCCGTTTTTCGATTAAGCGTTTACTTTGAATCCGGCTATTGGACTTCCTTTTTCGTTATCAACTCCTTGAATAAAATTGCATCGGCTTTTCGTATTAAAAGCACGGTTACGAGGAATTCTTTCAACCGCGAGGTGTTAATTACCTCTTCTGACAGGCCCCTCCATCCTCCAGCTTCGAGCCCAGCCCTTCGGTTCGCGTGAAATAGCACCTCAGTTCCTGCCTTTGCGAGGACGAAGCGCAGCGCTGTCGTTTGGCTCGTCCAGTTATCAAAGAGGCACCAAGGGGGACCCGACACTAATTAACGCAATAACGACACGCAGGGGCAAGCTTCCTGGAGTTTTCACGACGGTAATAGCTCCCGGAATATCGCCATTTAGCGAAGAGGGGAGAAAGGGAGGGAAAAAAATGAAGCTTATAAATTCAACTTCGCGGAAAGTTTAATCGACGAATATTCGTAAAATGATTTGTATCGTGAACTTTCTTTCTTTCGTCTTCGAATTAATTTTCCTTCAATCAATTATACAGTTTTGCGCCCGCAAGAGTCGTATAATTTCGAGTTCCTTCATTAAGATGTGTACTTTAAGTTCGAAAAATTACCCAACATCCTCTCTTCCTTTCTCTCTTTCTTGGAAAGGAAATTTTGATGAATAATTGAACCTTTGCCGCGGTCTTTATACATCGCGCAGCGTCTGATTACGAGGGAGGCTTCGTCAATTAGCCCGCGAAAATCCACCCTCTTTCAGGAGGTCCTCGCGACACCGTGAATACGAGAAAGCTGAAAACATGAATGACTCCCGCGAGAATTCGTTTTAATTGAAAGCGTCAGGCGCAAAAGTAGCCGGAGAACGGACGGGAGAGGGGGGAGGGGAAGAGGGGGTGACTAGTTTTCGTCGTGCGCGCTTTCGACGATAATTTTGCGAGAGATGCGACGTGGTTTCCTCGGTTGAGAATCCAACGGCAGAGAAACGGCCGGCTTTTCCCGCGATGCCGCTGTCACCGTAATCCCGAAATTGGTGGCGGCGAACCATCGGAGAGGATGGGGGGAGGCTCTCTCGCTATCCCCCAGTCTCTCTTTCTGCCTCTTAATTCTCGACAGATAGGATCCAGGGCTGTAAAACACGCGACGTGTCCGTGTCCGAGAATCCCGCGCATTAAAATCGCACGGCGTTCTGTAAAGCTACCGTGAAAAACGATCCGATGCAAAGCGGAAAGAGGTATTAGGTTGATCAAAGATTTCCCTTACATAGGGTTCTTGTTCTACAACAAAGCGATTCTCTTTAATTGAAAATTAATTTTAATAAAGAATTAAGTGAATCTGGAAAATATGAGGGATTAAAATAATTCTTGAGAGAATTTGCGTAATGATTGTTATAATTTTACTGAAATTAATTGCAAGATTGTATTGTTTCTCTCTCTCTCCCCCTTCTCGTTGAATTATCATTATTTAGTTCATTAGGTTGTCGCGTGTTAATTGAAGAGACCAAGATTAATGATTTAATTACGCATGGCGCGATTAGAGCAAAGTATGTTTTAATTTGATTTAAATGACGAGGCAAAGAGGAGAATGAAGGATAATCGCTTTCTTCTTTCCCTTAATGGCTCCATTAATAAATCTGAGCTGGAAGATAAACGAGCCGAAAAGCGGCTTAGCACAAGCAAATTTGGTCATTCGATGTCGTTCTGCGAGCATATCCGTATTCGAGTCACGATTTACAAGCTTAATATCGTGGCGTAATCTATCTTATCAAGCGGCAGAGGTATGTGTATATGTATATTCACACTGCAGTCCCAACAGAGAGTCGTAATAATCGTCCGCATCTGTGGACGCAGTATGGATTATCTCGAAATCAGATTAATGGAACTCGCGCCTATTATCAAAGTGAAATTCACGTAGAAATTCACGGAAATTCCATTTCTAACTCGCGGCTTTTTTCCCAGTGAGACGAACTCGTGTTTCCACTTCAAACATCGAGAAGAGAGGAAAGATTTTTTAATGATAGAATTAAAATAATGTGTGCCAATTATAACATATGTGTACTTTGAGAAACTTTAGTACCTAAGGGATTCCGGATTTCAAGTGTCATCTCTTAAAATCTCGTCCTAAATCGGTCTTTAACGGTATCCTCTCTAATCTCTAATTACTAGGTTACGTACAAATATTTTTTGGTTTCATTTGAAATATCAAAAAGAGAGGGATCAAAAGGAAAGCAGGATCTTTTAATGGTAGAATTAAAATAATGTATGTGCCAATTATAACATATGTATACTTCAAGAAACTTTAATATTCAAGGGACTCTGGATTTCGAGTGTCATCTCCCAAAATCTAGTCCTAAATCGGCCTTTAACGGTATCCTCTCTAATCTTTAGTTACTAGGTTACGTACAAATATTTTTTGGTTTCATTTGAAACACCGAGAAGAGAGGGATCGAAACGAAAGCAGGATCCTTTAATGGTAGAATTAAAATAATGTATGTGCCAATTATAACATATGTGTGCTTCAAGAAACTTTAGTATTCAAGGGACTCTGGATTTCGAGTGTCATCTCCCAAAATCTAATCCTAAATCAGCCTTTAACGGTATCCTCTTTAATCTCTAGTTACTAGGTTACGTACAAATATTTTTTGATTTCATTTGAAACACCGAGAAGAGAGGGATCGAAAGGAAAGCACGATCCTTTAGTGGTAGAATTAAAATAATGTATGTGCCAATTATAACATATATGTGCTTCAAGAAACTTTAGTATTCAAGGGACTCTGGATTTCGAGTGTCATCTCCCAAAATCTAGTCCTAAATCGACCTTTAACGGTATCCCTTCTAATCTCTAGTTACTAGTTTACGTACAAACATCACTTCCGTTATATTCTCGTTCAAGTTTCCGTTCGCAACTCTGATACAACAATAATACTCGAGGTAAATTGCGCGAGTTTCAATTATATTATTGTACTCATCTCGCTCGATCAACATTAGTCAGATTTTCCTGAGATTTAAGTGCTATTAAGTTTTGTAATTTAAGTTTTTAATTGCTCGCAACTCAAAGACTATCGATTTCATAGACAGGGGGAGAAAAGCTAAAAGGAAGAGGATCATTTATAATTTGCCTTTACGCGAGGCACTTGAGGGAGTAAATTTTGAAAAAGAAGGAAAGAAAGAAACAAATTTCGATGTTGTGCGACGTTTCTCGAGCGAGATGAAGCTTCAAAGTTGAGACGATCGTTTCTAGTTGGAGAGCTCGTTACGGTAGATCCGTCTCCCGGCCAAGTTGGCGAAACTGCGGATATATCCTTCCTGAACTTACCGCTTCGGTAATTCGTGTAAATCGCCTCTTCCAAGAAGGGAAGCTGCACTTTTATCTCCGGTAGCGCTAATAGCCTATGCAATTCCCGCAGAAAGTTAAAGAGAGAAAGAGAGACAGAGAGAGAGAGAGAGAGAGAAAGAGAGAACTCTTGTCTCTTTCCTCTTCTTTATTTTTGTCAGCGGTACGCAAGATGAAACACGCGGCAGCAGAAAACTGGGTGGAACGGAAGCAGCAAATAAGTCCGTCCTGCAAAGCGCGAATGAAACAGTCGGGACACGCGAACGGGAAATTAGCTTTGTTGTGGGGATGGGGAAGGGGAAGGAGGAAAAGGGAGAGAAAGATGAACTTTAACTTGCTTTATTCGCTATATTATTCTCTCTCCCCTCTCTCCCCCCTTCATGCCTCTGGTATATTCCGCGCTGCGGCGGATTTTGCGGCGTTTCCCATCGCGACCTTTCCTTTACCTCAACACGCTTCTTGCATATCGTATGAAAGCGCAAATGGATGAAACGTGTGGCGTGGTACGTGGCGTTTGTGCACCTCCGGCGTGTTATATATCGCGGGGGAGGGTTTCCGAAGAATTCGATTGGCGATTGTTGATGCGCTTTAATAAGAGGCATCCGTCATCCGTCACGTTAAACCTGTCAGATGTTATCTTGATGAGACTTACTTGCGTTATAATTGCAAGGGAAGTACAGTATTTTGTCTTCATTAGCATCGATTTTTCCCCTCGACGGAGCAAGTGCAATAATTCATGGGAAGTAGTGAGTGCAATTGAAGATACAAATTTCCCGGCCATTTTCGCGCACAGAGTACTTTTCACTTGAGAGTATTTTCTTTTCCATTTATACGAGCGTCGTTTTCACGAGATTTTTCTCGATTAACCGCGGGCGTGTGTTGATGGAAAAAGTTGTCACGTGTCCCGAGATGCCGGGTAAACTTAGCGTGCTTCATTTCGCATCGCGCATGTTAGAATATTCGAGTTAAAATATTCCAAGCTGGATGCGATATCGCTCAGTTTTTTGTTTCGCGAAAGAACGTGGTGTGTACTATATTTGCATGACTCTTTTTAAGCACACATACAAAATTCACGGGCGGGTTTCAGATAATCTCAAAGATCAAGGTTTGCCGAGCGATACTGTAATAACGTTTAGCATCTACAACGTCAGCGAAAAGTAGGACTCAAGCGATATTTACAGGCACTTTACAAACATGTAAGAAACATATCCGGCGTGTTATTACCAGATATTGAACCCAAAGAACAAAAAAATTGTTTCGTCCGCAAATTTGCTTTTCCTATAGTTTCCTTCCTTCAAAGATCTTTTTTTTTCGTCTTCTATGGCATCTCTTGCAGTAGCATATTAAAATCTTTTCAATGTTAAAAAATTTCTTCAAGTATTAACCAAAATATTTTATCGTATCTTCATTTATAAAAATATTTTCCACAGCATCTTTTGATTACTTCTTCTGCAGCTGCTTTTTTTCGATTTTTAAACAAAAGTTAGTTAACTAAATAGAAAAAGATCGTGAAAACCATGAGATATTTTCTTATAAATAAATAAATAAATATATATATATATATATAAATTATAAATATATATATAAATATATATATATATATATATATATAAAAATTTTGTATAAATTTTATATAATCAAAATCAGTTCATTGAAATACATGAATAGTGAGCATGCTTTTGTACACACATACAATTCTGAATATGAATATAACAAACATATATATTCTGAATATAAACTTTGGAGCGCACAATGTGTTGCGGAAACAGCTGGCAACACATAAATAAAGCACTCGAAATACTCTTAAATAACGGATAACGGAATTGAGAAATCCGAATGTTTTGGTTTATAGTTTGAATTATGTATTTGGTTACCTTGAAAAACAAATGTAATCGATTATACAGGCAGTTTCAATTCCTATAGGGATAATTGAAAGGGCGAAACCTATGATTTTTTAATCACATATTGATATTTTACACTTGTTAAATCTAGAATTTATGAATTCGAGACATAAGAATTTTAGGATTTTTGAAAATTCCCGTCAAAGAATCTAAATAATCGAAGATAATTCAGAATTTAAGAATTCGAAAAATAAGAATCTTAGGATTTTTGAATTCCCGAATTCTCAAATATACATGTATCGAGCAATTCTAAAATTAGAGTCTAAAATTACCATCCCAAGAGTCCACGTTTCCATTCAATGAGCAAAAGGCATAAAAAGTTCAATATTTTCAGAATTCAGAGAGCTTCGGTATAAAAAAGGGAAGATAATTGAAAGAGCGAAATTACATAAAGTTTTAATCACATATTATTGATATTTTACACTTGTTACATTTAGAATTTAAGAATTTAAGACATAAGAATTTTAGGATTTTTGAAAAATATTTTTCTCGAAAAATCTAAATAATCAAAGATAAATCCAGAATTTAAGAGTTAGAAAAATAAAAATTTTAGGATTTTTGAATTCCCGAATTCTCAAATGTGCACAGGTATATCGAGAAATTTTAAAATTAGAGTCTAAAATTAACACCCCAAGAGTTCACGTTTCCATTCAATGAGCGAGAGATGCATAAAAAGTCCAATATTTTCATCAGAGTTCAGGGAGCTTCGGGGTAAAAAAAGGAAGATTGCTCTCTTCCGGCGTTTCGCCGACTGATTTTATCGTTTCCGATCTATATGTCCGACTATATCGGCGCGAACAAAGCCGGCGGCGCGTGAGATCGCGTGATTTAATGAGCGAAATGATTTGTTGCAGGTGGTGCGGGCGGCCAGCCCGGTTTTGTTGCGCGTGATCGTCCTGGGCGCCTTCTTCATATACTGTACGGTGAGTATGAAGGTACGCGAAACCCACGTCTGCTCGTCGTCGTCGTCGTCGCCCTCTTCCCGGTCGCATTTCATATTCATGAGGGTCGACGGCGTCGCGTCGCACCCCATCCCACCCCACCCTGTCTCACCCCGCACCTCGCCCCGTCTCGCCGCACCTGAGAGAGAATCCGATAACAAAGCTTTCTCACGTGCGTGCGAGGAGATGCCCCGCCGCAGCATCCGACGACTCTCGCCGCTTGTAACCGCATCTGTTGCGACTACTACCCCTAATGTATGCGGGCGCGTCCCCCTGTGCGCCAATTACGATAACGCATGATTCCCCATATCGCGGCGCGACTACGTGTATACACCAATTATTGATGACCTCCATGCCTCACTAATTAAAGGGGATATGCCGGGAATTGATCTCCGGCGAATGCGGATTCCTGAAGCTCGTTTGCATCCCTCTCGACGATCTTCGCGTTATTTCTTTTTTTCTTGGATCGCCTTAAATCGAATTTTATCAAATCGTCAATTACTTAGCTTTAGGATCCGAACGCGACGTCTTGTATTTTCACGTGGGACGGGCTTATCTACCCGCCATTGTTACGCCGGATTATTATCAGACGAAACATGTTTCCGCAATTGTGGCGGAAGCTGTCTGTTGCATAAATCACACGTGGAACAAAATAATTCAAGATATCACGCTTGGGTTATTCCGGGTTTTGACTTGTAGTGACAGCTGCTGTAACACGTATTCCGTTCACGTTCTTACGTGATATATCGGCTTGATAGCGGAATTTCTATCACATTTCGCAAACCTGCTTTATCGAATTCGGGACGATTTCGTAGACGACAAGTCATTTGTATAAACGTAAATTCAAGGAATTTTCCTCACGTACGCGTATGTTCGTGTCCTCTTTGCTCCTAGATGACAGCCAGATCTATAGAAGATGTTTGTTTTAGACATCGAGAAGCCGCAAGAAATATATATTTACTTAATGGCTTTCAATTAAAGCGGAAATGTTTAAATTGCTTCCTAGTTTACTTTCAATTAAAGTAAAGATGTTTAATTTAACAATTCTCACTCATATTATATTTACATATAATGAACAAATATATCATTTTATATTATCACATATAATGAACAAATATATCATTATTTATATATCATTACTAGAGAAATATTTTAGATCCAAAAGTAAATTTTTTTTATTAAGTAGTCGTTGCAAATTGGAATAAAAGAAAATCACGTCTGAGAAAAGACAAGAATCCTTGCTATATAAATGAATAAGTTTTTTTACTTCCATTGTTATATTAAACATTTCAGTTATATAACTGTTATATATATTAAACATTTTAGTTATATAACTTTCTTATATATTCAATACTAGTTAAAAAATTTTCTTGAATATATTTATCAACTTAATATTCCTAGGAAAATTTTAGAACGAGAAATAATCAAAGTGTTTTTACGAAACTATTATTTTGTTATTAATTATGCGCTATATTAATCATATAAAATAACAACTTATCGATTATGTGCATTGAATTATACATCGTAGACCGTCTTAATGTACAGCTTATATTATCTTAATATATCATCGCTATATATTTGCTGAATAATAAATTGTATATAATTTAATAAGAGTTTTAACTGAGCGTTTACGAGAGATGCTTGTGCAGCAAAGTACTTGTATGACATCGCTACGGTAAAGTTTATCAGGCACATGTAAGACTGCACAATTTACTAAGAAAGTTTAACTTACAACAAGCATGTTTCCGGCAACTTTTGCAATTTTCCGTTTTAGATTTATTAAACTAACAGAAATTAAATTAGAAGTTATATTTAATTATAACGCATGAGAAGAAGGAAACAAATTTGTAAAATATTACCAGCTAACAGTTACATAATTGTTAGTTATAATTTCTAGTTTATAATTTCTTAGTTATAATATGTTTATATAACATGTAACACAACAGTTACATAATAATTATATTATTGAGTAGGAAATTACAACTAACAATTATATAAATGTTACTTGGCGTTTGTTGGATTATATTTTTGCAAAAGGTGTTCGTTTGGATTTTCTCAAACGTTTAATCTCTATTATTTTCGAGTTATCCTCGAGCCATGTTTAAGAATCATTCGTCATCATGCGACCTATTCCGTCAAAATGACAAGGTGATTTTTCTCGCTGAAGTAATAACTCGTTCGTGAGGCAAGGGTTAGTATCAATGTGCGGTTCCGACATTTCGACTGCTTTAACTTGGGAGCTCGTCCTTCGTAAGGAGGTAAACGTGCCTACGTAATGCTTGCTCTTACGAGGTACGAACTCCCAGATAGCTTCGCTTAAACTCGTAGTGCTATTCTTAATGGGACGTCATTTGCCTCGCTTATGAAGGTACGCTTTCTGTTTCTCGCTAAGCTTCAATATTATATCTTGCCATGCGAGAGCCGTCATGTAAATCGTATGATACAGCTTGGAAAATCCAGAGAGACCGCCGTCGAGTTTTGTGGTCCGAGTCGCTTATAATTTCTCTTTATACCCGTCGTTTCCTTTCTCGTCGGAGTACCTTATTAAGGGAATTGTTTCATAACTTTGTAATATTTCGCAAACTTGAGAGCGTCAGTTTTACTCTTGAGCGTAAAAGCAAGAATCGTCCAAACGATTATCTCACGGGTGAGAAAATAATCACATTCATATTTCAGAGAATAATTCGATATACTTAATAGAGATAGGATTCTTTATGTGACTCTTTCCTCTCTTAAAAAAAGGAAAAAAAATTTTTTAAATTCTCGTTATCGATATTCAAAATGATAAAAGTTATTACATGTTGTAAAATGAGAACGTAAAAATTAGCATTTCGTATCTTCAAATATTTATCTTTTACGCTTTATCGCATAGGTCTTTTTATACTATATCAGAAATCGATAATTTCCGTTACTCTATAAAAATATTAAAATTAAAAGTTTAGTGTCGAAAGATGAATATTTCATGATTCTTCATATTTTATACATCAGAATGCATCGGGATAAGATATAAAATACCTTATAAAGTTTTTTTAAGGCGATTTCTCATCTGAATATTTTTTGCGAAGAATAACAAGAAAGATTTCTTTCCCTTACATGAAATTATTAATCTCTGAGAATTATAATTTATGTAAGTCTAGATTTTATTTATGTAAGTTTGTTCTAAAATTTAAAATTTCTACTACGATGGCCTCACGACAAAGCCTCATGTTGCACAAGAGAAAAATCGCTGCAAAGTGCTCGTGCTGCGAAAATTCTTTTTTTTCAATTCCCAGTTTTTCATCGTATACTTCTCTTTTGATATTATTCACATTATTTTTGATGACAGTTTTCATAACAATGATAATAACGGTCTTCTCCGTAAGCATCTTAATACAGTTTTAGTTAAACAGCAGTATAACGAAAAGAAAGATAATAAGTGTGTTTTCTCATCTTTATTTTTCATGTTCTAGCTTGGATAGAGAACAGCTTGGCAAATAATAAATTAACATTTTTAAGCAAAAATTCAAGCACAAAATAAGCGCTTAAAAATTCATCGTATCAGAATATATGCGGTATATAAAGTTTTAAACATGTAAACATTTTTATCTTTATATTGTGCTACGCGTTTGTACACACGACCTTATCACGTAAACGCACAGAGAAAATTTATATTGAACATAATAAAAAATATATGCAAATATTTTTTTTATACATTAAATATAAATTAAATTTCAGACATTCGAGCATTCGTTAATGATAAATTTTGTCGTCATGAATATCCCTCTATTTGATGTGAATACCATAGGCAAGAACTCGATAGGAAATCAATGAGTGCTTTCGGCGCAATTTCAAAAGCGCGTATTTGAAAGCGCTCGAGGGGCTTTAAATATATCTAATTCTAATTAAATAATTATAATATCACATATAATATATATTGACGACGAATGAATTCATCAAATTGAGGCGAAATGACATTGTATTGAAATTTATACACTAATATGCGGAATGAAATTATGGATAAATAGACAAGCGGATGTGCGTAACGCATAGTCGGTAGTGCGTTTCGCACAACATCGCTCTGCAGGACACGCACTCTCTGCTTATGTTACAGACCATAGTAATGTACCCCAGGCCAAACATCATCACGTGCACCGTCCGCGTATGGTTGCGAGAAATTGGCTTTTCTCTCACATACGGAGCACTCATGCTCAAAACGTGGCGGTAAGTTTATTTTATCTCGAATATTACTCCGATGTGACTTTTTTCCATCATTACTATTTATCCCTCCGAGTAAATAAATGCTCGATCTTCCTTTTTCCGTTGATATCTCGTTGCTCATCAAATTCATATCGTATACATTTCTCTCTCGCATATTTATTTAGTTTGACGCGTTTTCTCTCTTGTTTTTTTTAATATCGTTTTTGACATTTTGAAAATTTTTCCCTCATTTACAGAGATATGGTAGTTTAAACATGCCAATAAAAGCGTGCTCTTTGTTTTATATTATTTTGATTGTATCTTTTTCAAAGCTTCTCTCTGGTCGAATTAATTTCGCAACTTTTTAACATTTTTTACTATCAATCAATTTTATTTGATTTGATTCTATATTTTTGATGTGTGTATATTTGGTCGTTTTTGTAATACATATAATTCTGTGCACGATAGGGTATTTCTTAATAAGTGCGAAAAATTTTAGGAGATGATTCTTTGTTGAAAATTAAGGGGGTTTTTATTTTTTTAAGTTTTTATTTTTAAAATTTTAAAGTTTTTATTATAATTTTGTTTTTGTTCCAATTTTCCCTATATTTATTCTAATTTTATTTTTATTTTAAAATTTAATACTTCTCGTCATTTGAAATCTATGCCTTTTAGCATCGTGCTGTGCACGATAACGTATTTTATTTTTTTTTCTTGAAAACTACAGATTTTATGAAAAAAATAAAAGAAATAAAAAAGTTTTTAAATCAATCAAACTTTTTAATGCATATTTTTAGATTATTATATTCCAGTCCATTAAAAAATTTTTAATAAAAAATTGAATAGGGGTTGTTAGTTTTATCCCCTTATAACAATACGGAAAGCTGAAAAAATATTAATAAATAACCTTTTTATTACTAAAAAATATCCACTTAATTTCATTTCTTTAATTTGTTCCAAATTTGAGAAAAAAATAAAAACCTAATTTTTACTTCCATTTTTGGAGGAATGCAACTCCACAGGAAAGGATGTAGGAGTATATGTTTATTTGAAAAATTAATTTTCGACAAAAAATCATCTAAAATTTTTCGCTCTTATTAAGAAACATCCTGTATATTTTAAGATGAACAGCATTTCGTGCACGATGATTTGAAACAGTTGATTAATCCTCGAGGAGATATATAAGAACGTTGTAAGAAAATTGAAAAAGATTGGCAACGGATTCGTGACATTTCGTTCGTAGGATATCCGTGATCTTCCGAGTGAAGTCGGCGAAGGCCGTAAAAATAACGGACGCGAGTCTGCTGAAGCGCCTCGGCATCATCGTCCTGACGTTCAGCGTGTTCCTGAGCATCAGGACCCTGGTCGCGCCGCCCGTCGTCATCGTCGCGCGAACCGCCGACGATCTCAAGGCGTATCTTTGTCGAACTGACTGGTGGGACCACAGTTTCACTACTCGTGAGTTTTTTTCCTCAATAATACGCGTTTCACAAAAAGAGACATTGACCAGCTTAAAATCCCCCTCCCCCTTTGTCTCCCGATTCCGCCGCGTTTCCGTAATCTGTACTTATCGTAAGCCATGTATCGCTCTAGTGATATACGAGCACAGTGGAGCCAGGATACGCGCATAATACAGGACGTATAGTAGGCGGTATGGATTAACTTTGACGGCTATGATCGATCCCGACGTGCGAGAGAGACCGAGAGCGCGATCGAAAGTTTGGTGGTAGCTTTGATGAATCGAGCCTCGGAGCTCGTGCATTTCCCACCTCGCAGGAATCAATGTTATTTTAACAGACGAGGGAGGGGGTGGCTTCTTATTTGCCGTAATGTTCAATGTGGAAAGTTAAGAGCCCGCGAAGATAGATGGGTTCGAAATAAATCGAGGAATTCACCCCGAATTTGCCTCGACGAGAATCTTATTTAGTCGGGAAAAGAGAGAGAGCGAGAGGAAAAAAAGGACGAACACAGATACCTCCGGGACACGCCGTAAATGAGGCGTGAAAGTGGACATTCATCTCGTGCTGTACCCTCGCCACTGTGTCCATAAGTTCCTGTATTATACGCGACAGGCAACCCTCCCGAATTAGTCCGCATTATCTCTCCCCTGCCATCGGTCTCGGTATCCGCATAGGTGAAATATTTACCGGATCCCTGTTATATGTAACGCCCATCTTTTGGCGGGAAATTGCTCGTGGCTGTGACAGATATATCGGATCCATTTATATTAAATTAGGGAGAGAGATCGTATCGCATTGTTATGTATACGTTTGCGGTTAATACGGCATTAAGTATCGTAGCGTATTAATGGTGGGAATGTGTACAATTTGTGGAAGGCCCATATAAGCCATATTGATTTAGTATAATGATACTGCAGACGGTCAAATGGTGATTTTAACTCGAAACAGCTAATTTACGTGGATAGCCTGAGGAGGGGAGGGAAACGTTTACAGTTAATTCATCTCGTGAGAGAGCAAAAAGAGCCGTCGCGTTTCTTCTAATCGCACATAATCTCCAAAGAAACGGTTCATCCGCAAAAATTACACGGTGCTCAGATTATTTTCATGTATAATTTAAAAGGCAGATTTTTAATTATATGCGTGAGACGAAGAAACGCACACGAGATAAAGGATATCTTCCACGAGAGAAAAATCTCTCGCAATTATTCGGGTCGTTATTTGAATTCTCAGATCCCCTTTAATTTACAGAGCCGTAGCTAGAGCGAATTGGCGTTCTCACTTTGATTTTTACACGCTACATACATATATATATCTATAACTCGATAAGCCGAAGATGGAAATTGAAATTCCAGTCGCTCTGCGAACGCAAGTGACTGCAAATAACGCCCGGCTACGGCTCCGCGGACTTTCGGGGGAAAACATCAAGCTTCGCCCGCAATTGTGCGACTAATGCGACTTGGAATCTCGCGATGTGACTTGTGATTTCAGTCGAGGTGATGTTCCTCGTGTGGGGCATCCGCCTGTGCATCGTGGTGAGAAAAACCCCGTCGGAATTTAACGAGAGCCGATTCATTTCAATGGCGATTTACAACGAATTTCTACTATCAGTCTTCCTCAACGTTTCAATGTAAGTTTGCGTCATAAGATTGCCCATTCAAAATAATTTACATTAACTTTTAATTCTGTAATGAAATTATTGGTAAACCCCTGTCGGAATATTCAAAAGAATCTTAATATTATGAGAAAAATAATAATAATATATTATTATTTACATATGATTATAAAATTATTTAATATTATTTATATAATATTAATTTAATATAATTTATATTTTTATTTATTTATACATATAATATAATATTAATATATTATATTATATTATATTAATTTACATATGATTAATAATATTATTTAATATTATTTATATAATATTAATATAATATTAATATAATATATAATATTTAATATTATTTAATATTATATTAATTTATTATATATATATATTTATTTATTTATTTATTTATTTATTATATTATTTATTTATTTATTATATTATGTTATTTATTATTTAATATAATATTATTTGCATATGAATAATATTATTTTAGTTATTTTTTTAATTACTTGAATTTACAGCATATTTAAGAAAACGCAACGTAACTTTTATTTAAATAGTAAACTTTATTTAAATAGAATTAAATTCTTGAAAATATACATGTTTCAAAAGTTTAACTCTGGAATGCATAATAGAAATTCATTTAAACTGGTCCTTATTTTAAATGTAAATTCTATGTTAACGATTCCCTTCAGGTATCCCAACTCAATTGTAATTTAATGACGGATTCCCTTTGACGAATTTATAATTGTTAATTTCCTCCAAGGGAATTTGATATTGGTGGATTACCGCGATTTCTAATACGATTTAATATTGCATTATCACGCGGTAATAGCTTTTCAAACCGGGAAAATAAGAGGTCCCGCTATTCCAAGCGCTTCCTCCATCGAAAAATCTCCTGTCGATTTTTTGTAAACGAAAGAAAAAAGAAACACTTTCGAACGAACCCATCGAACGAGAGATCCCGGACACGATAAATATGGAACACGTCCCGTCGCGGATCTAATGTCAGGAATGCAATTTGAATATTTTCGGGCTGCAGGAGAAGAAAAACAAAAAAAGAAAAAAATAAAAATAACGGAAGAGATCTGGGACAACTCACGATATATAAGCGCAGCTCCTTCTTACGTCACGATAGTGCTTCGTGCAGCTAACAGCTCTGAATAATTTCTTTCCCGTTGCTGCAGGTTGTTCCTGCAATCGCCGGCCAATCCCGATTTATTGTACATCATATTTTTCTGCCATACCCAGCTTACCGTCACATTGCTGCTGTGCCTGATATTCGGCAGTAAAGTAAGGAGTGTTATTTATATGCATTTTCGCTATGGCAATCGCGTTGTATCCTTGGCTTCAAGGCGCGCCTTGTTTCTCGCAGATCGATTTTTCTATATCGTAAGATTTATCAAATATTTTCTCTAAAATTAATATTTCTAAAATTAATTTTTCTAAAATTAATTTTTCTAAAATTAATTTTCTCTAAAATTAAATTTTTAGACACTAGATGATTCATGTAAAATTATTCGCATAAAATTATTTAATATCGTATAAAATTATTACGTCTATTAATCCGCAAGGAGTGTTTTAAATTAGATTTTAAAATAACGAAAAATTTACCGGATATCTCTTTTTAAAATATTTAATATATTAACATGAAGGGTTTTATGTAAATAAAGTTGAAATAAAGTTAAAATTTCGGGATGAAAATTTGACTTTGGAATATTTTCAACTTTGCTTGAAATACAAACGAATAAAATGATATAGTTAGTATATATTTGATAAATATCTATTATATATATTTGATATATATTTCATAAAATAGGAATATAATTGCTCTCTGTAAATTTATTATATGAAGAGAACTATTTTCTCTTCATTTGAGATTTGTTGTAGTAGAATCGAGATTATCGCGGTATTAGATGAAGCTGAAATGCATGTATAAAATTCGGTCGGCGTAAGATGCGATTAAATCGCGCAATTTCCATTTCGTTTTCCATTTGCTTTAAATGCTGTCCCGCAAGATTACTGCAATTTTAAATAATTTTCTTTTTTTTCGAAAAAATTTACGGGAATCGTAATCTTTGAGATATTTAATAAATCGGTAACATGGAAAGTTTTGCATAAATAAAATTCTCTAAAGCGACAACGAAAACTTGATTTTGAAATATTCTCAACTTTGCTCGAAATGAACATGAATATAATAATATTATATATTTGATTGAATAGAATTGCTTTGTCTTTTCTTTTTATTCGAGATTTATTGTAATAGAATCGAGATTATCGCGGTATCAGATGAAACTGACAATGAGATATGTAAAATTCGATCGGCGCAAGATGTGATTAAATCGCGCAATTTCCATTTCGTTTTCCATTTGCTTCCCGCTCTCCCGCAAGATTATTGCACTTTGAAATCATTTTTCTTTTTTTCGAAAAAGTTTACGGGAGTAGCGTTATCTTTGAAATATTTAATATATCGATAGTATGAAAAGCTTTACATGAATAAAACTCTCTAACGAAAATCCAATTCTGGAATATTTTAAATTTCGCTCGATCTAGAAAAGAGTTGAATATATTCGATTGAACAGAATTTTCTCTGTAAATTTATTATATGAGGCTTATTCTTTTTATTCGAGATTACTATTAAATACTATTAAATGAAACGACAATGAGATATATATAAAATTCGATTTTAAATTTAATTTATTTTCCATTTTATTTTCCGTTTGCTTCCCCGCAAGACTAGCGTGCAAGTCCTCCCACAAGCTTGTGTAGAAATTCCGATACTGCGTAAGTTTGGTTGTTACATACGTCGCATTTAACGAAGGCTTACGTGGTGTTCCGCGGCGGGGGGAAGGAGGAGACGATCGGCAAACTTTGCGGCGCGACCGGCAAATTCTTGGGCAAGAGCAGCCGTCCGCAGGGCACCAGTAACCAGACCAACTCGATATCGCTTCAGCAGGGTAATTTTGCCGAGGAGAGCGACTCCGCCACGGTAAGCCGACATCTATCGCCGGGTCTCCGGAGCGTAGCCTAGAGCCATGTGCTTCCTTCTAGTTAAACGTTATCTAGTGGGTCTAGATTGCGAATTTTTACTCTGCAGCTAGCCTAGCCCTCTGCGTCTCGAAAGATTGAAGTTGAACTCCTGAAGCCTTAGAACCTTAAACTTTAGAAAGGAGACATGTGTATTTCTCAAAACTTTACAATTTTGGAATCTCATTGGAATTTCTTTGAACTATTCTAGAAGAGAAACTCTCTAAAATTTTGGGTTAAATATTCAAGACCTGAGGAGAGTTCTTGAAGCTTTAGAAACATTGTATATATACTTTAGAATCTGATTTCTGGAGCTGAAGGATTTGAACTTTTTTAGCAGATGTCTTAAGTTAGATATAAGACAAAAGCGAGAGATATTTTTTTTCAGGAGGAGTTTCGCCGTTTGCTCAATCAGTTAGAGGTTCTGAAGGAGAAGAACATTTTGTTAGGAAATCAGGAACTAGTCAGCAAGCTAGCGGCCATGCTGGATGCATCGAATCGCGTCGAAGCTCAAGTATCCACCATTCAAGCCATTTCGACTAGCATCATTCAGTCGAACGATCTTGATAAATCGACCAAAGAAACTAACCTTGGGCAAGCTTGCCAAGAGCAGGGTCGGTCAGGTAGGAGAAAAAAAATTTCAACCGAATTATTTGAAAACGCACGCTGGGAATTTTATAGCGAAAAATCAGCGAAATTGCGGAATGTTTGTACTGTAACCGTTTTTCGAGATTAGCACAGTCAGAAATAAAATTCCCGGTAAAAATTTTGCGCCAATTGAGAAAGTAACGAATTAATGCGAACGTATATTCGGAGCTGGAAGCTAAAAATCGCAAATAAAATCAGGGAAATTTTTTCGGTTTTGGAATAGTACAGATTTAGGGACAAAATTTCTCACGAAATTTCAGAAAGAGAGAAAGAAAAAAATAAGAAAAAATTGCGAAAAGTGTACGCTCTCATATTATTGGATTTAAAACTGCAAATTAAAAGCCGCAAGAGAAAACGCTAGAAAGGAAATTGTTTCTGACGCTTTAAAAGGCAAGAGAAAAAAGAAAATAAATGACACAAAACAAACTGCTCAAAAATTTCTCGCTTCAATTAGATTTATGTGGGAGCTTTATTTATTTATCCTTACTTTTCTCTCTCTTTTTCTGTGATCGTTCAGAATGATTTATTAATGTTGCTGTGTTTCTCACACAGAGCCTGTAACCAGGTAATTCTACTTTTGTTTAGGAAACGGTTTTAAGGGTGAGAATCGATGTCGCGCGTGTATCGAGAAAAACGGACTCGATAAGAAGGATACGCAGGATTTATCGAAGGATAATGAGATGTCGGAATCGAAGAAAATCGACAGGGACGTTGCCGTATCGACATCCTCGAAGCACGTCATCGAGGAGGCCGACAGGGAAGCGTGTCACGGGAAGGATAGTAAAGAGGCCGACTTAAAGGACAAATCCAGAAGCAAATCCGGCCACGCTAGAACACACGCCATAGTTATCAACCTCGACGACAAGAGCAGGTTTTCCGAGGAAGTTACCGTGTGACTTCATGGTTAAGTGAAAAATAAACGGTTAGAAGCGCAGATCTTTCCGTTTTAATTAATTAAGATTTCTTCTCTTCGTTTTCCATCCGTGATTTCCATCGCGAGTGACAGTTACTGTGTGTCTATGTGATTGAAACTTAGTGAATGTCGTATTTCTGATCAAATGATCTAAAATTTTTGATAAAAGTGATACGTCATTTCCTCCGATTTAGAGACGATGATTAGTACAGAATTTCTTCTGATAAAATTAATTGAAATATTTTAAATTGAAATATTTATTGTACGAAGGATTTAAATCTACGTGTGAGAAGAACAAAAATTCTAATTTATTCTAATTCATAAAAATTCATGCAAATTGTAAATAATTGAACCAATACTTGGGAGAAGCAATTCTTTCCTGATTGAAAATTTATTAAACGATCTCTCGATTGTGATCATACTAATTAATAATAATTTCAATAAAGTATGAATTTTAAGTGTCCGAAAAAAGTGTCCGGCAGACATTCGTAGAATCAGTAAGAATGATTGTTTGAAATAAATTATTAAGAAAAAAATTATTTATGAGAATCATATATATATCGAAAGAGAAGAATAGAAAAATTATCCGAAAGAAAAGCGCGACACACATATCGATTTTTCATATCTCGATGAGATATCGGGTATTCATGGAGTAATGAAAAGTTAATACGTTAGATTAAACACGACATTTGGCATTCCCGAGTAAAACTGATCGCATTCTAGTACATCATTAATGAACCATTCATTAACCCTTAGGGAATAATTCGCCCTTTGCTGCGGCAAATCGATCTCTGGCTTTCCAAGATCAAAATGTGCTTCGTCAGCATGTTCCGCGAATTACGAATAGCTTGCACCTGTAATTATGTATTAATGTAAAAGTAAGTTAAGGGATAACGCTCATTAATCCTTTCCAGTTTTCTGATGCCGTGAAGGGGGTATCGTTAAAAATTTCAAATTATGCAGGATCATGTTTCCAAATTAATTTCGTAAGAGCGCGTTAAACAATATAAATGTATAAGTATAATGCATATTGTGTCATATACAGTTATGTAAATATAAATGCATTATATATATAGAAATCACGTTATACGATGTTACATTATACATATATTGTATATTATATATATATTTATTATATTATATATATTATCTTTTTATTGTATTATATTATATGATTATAATTAAAGAATATTAATATGAGAATAATTAAAGGAAAAATAAAGTTTTGCGGAAAAAAATCGTTTTAGCCTTAAAAGAATCAAGGACATGACTTTTACGGCTATCTTTATTTAATTGTAACGATCTCGTTAATTTTGCTGATGTGTGCAATCATTGATAATGAGATCTGCTCGATCAATTTGAACAGAGATTCTGGTCATTACATAATTGAAAAACTTTCGATCCGTGAATAAATTTTAAATTCTCGAATTATTTGATCCAGGCGCAAGTTTAGTACTTCGCTACACAAGTTTAATACTATTCAATGCTCAAATTATGATTTTCAGAAATTTAATTAATTGTGAAAGTTTAAATAAATGGTTTGCTCTTCGAGAATTTTCAAATTTTAATTCTCTAAATTCTTTCATTTTTGAGGTCATTAAGCGTTTAAATCTTTATTGAGCATTAATACATTTTATTAATTATATTTACAAAATATTACTACATATGTATTAAAATTCTCTTAATTAAATTTTTGCAGATATTTAGGCTTGCATAAATAATTATATCAAATAATTCGTGCATAAATAACTCGTTGCACGCTTTTGATACGAATATTACTATAATAATTACCATCGTTTATTATATGTATAGTTTAGGCAGACGCGTTGTGTTATATAAACAATTAAATATATAATTGATTAATAAAGGCGAAATGAATGGAATTCAAGCATGAATGCCGGTTTTGCATTCTGCAAAACAACAGCATTTTGCGCTTTGTTGGAAACATGTCAATGAAGGTGAGTGAAGAAACGTTAATTATTTAATAGATCATATTATTATTATTATTATTAACTTCAAACTTGCATTGAGACTTATTATATAAATAATATTATAATATTATATAAATAATATTATATAAATATTATATAAATTAACTCGAATATATAACATCTTTTCCCAACAAACACCAAATAACAGTTATAACAGTTATAACAATTATGTAACTGATAGTTATAATTTCCCACTCAACAATATAACTGTTATATTGTTTGTTATATTATTGAGTAAGAAATTACAACTAGGAATTATATAAACGTTACTCGGGTTATATAATTATGTATAATCTGATTTTTTCCATATAAATATAATATACCACACACATACACAAATATATATAATTTATGAGAAAATAATTTTTTCCTCTCGTAGCTGCTCCGAAATCCAGCTCATTAGACTAATAATCGTTGAGAATCCCGAGAATCTCAGGATTAATTCCACAACTCTTTAACGAAAAAGACGGTCTCAATTAAATCTGTCCTCGTTAAATTTAGTATCGGATGTACAATAAGAAAAAAGAATCGCGGTAATAAAGATTTTCTTGCTTCAATCGCGAATGGTTTCGCACGAAAGACGAGATTGCAGGATCTCCTATCTCGTCGGTCCTCGCTTAATGAAACCTGCAGCGGGCTTCTCTCTTTTTCGAGATTGATGTAAATTCTTCTCTCCACTTCTGTCTGGTTGACGCGGAGAAAAACCAGCGGCGAGAAAATGAACGAATCTCTCTTTGCTTTACTTCTCCTTCGCGCTAAATATTACATTATACATCCCAACAAACACCAAGTAACAGTTATATAATTGTTAGTTATAATTTCCCACTCAACAATATAATTGTTACCTAACACATAACAGTTTTATAACAGTTATATAACAATATAACAAGTAACAGTTATATTGTTGAGTAGGAAATTATAACTAACAGTTACATAACTGTTACGTGTTTGCTGGGATATTATATTATACAAGCACCTCGCACAATCGCCATCGCACCTCTTATTATTCCGTCGTCCTCGCCAATTAGGTATTCCCAATAAAGGATTCTGGCCCGAAACGCGTTTGATCGTTTGCCAACGCGAAAGGAAAAAGGAAAGGAGCAGAAAGAAATTTGGAGCACACGGTTGGAAGAAAAGCGGAGAAGGGGAGCGAGGGGGAGGGAGCGAGAAGCTCCGTACTTCCGGCGAGTAGTTACATTGAATTCGCAGTCAGGACCCTGCCTATTCTACGCCGGACGGACAATGTTTTATGAATCGCGACCGAAGAAAGGATCGCCGTCTGCTCCTCCCTCCACCTTTCAATTGCCTCTCCTCCTCCTCCTGGTCTTGCCCCTTGATAAAAAAAAAGAAGAAGCGCGGATACGTGCCTCGCACAGTAGATCGGGATCCGATGACGAAGGTCCACCGATAGTTTCGTTATTGATTTTCAAGAGTAAGAATATACGAGCGGATATCGTCTCGCTCGTTGAATTATCGAGTGTCGGGAAGAAGGATCTCTCGAGGTCTCGCTTCCGCGAGCGCCCTTCGTTAAGCGTTTCCGCGAGAAGGGGGTTGCTCGTTCACGCGTCCTCCCTGCTGCCCCTCCTCCTTCCCCGGCAGCCCTCTTGAATTGACTCAATCGGCCGGGGGATTACTCGATTCGATTAACCCTGTGCCGCCCGCGAAACGGCAGCGTTGACAAATGTATTCCTATCAATAACGGTATAGGGAGGACGGATTAGGTCGTTCGCTTGATTCGACTGTTAAATGAGAACGCGACGAAACAATAATTTCGTCTTGCCATGATTCCCTAGCACTTATAGTGCATTAATATTAGAAAATTAATTAATTTATTATTATTACATAATTATTGTTGTTAATATTTATTATTATTAATAGTTTATTATTATTATTATTATCATTATCATTATTATTATCATTATTATTATCATTATTATTATTATCATTATTATTATCATTATCATTATCATCATCACCACCACCACCATCATCATCATCATCATCATCATCATCATTATTATTATTATTATTATTATTATTATTATTATTATTATTATTATTATTATTATTGTTATTTAGAAAGATAGAAAAATATAAAAATATTATTAGAATTATATTATATTCATAGAAAATTATAAAAATTAATTATCGATATCGTGAAAAAGTATATTTATAAACAAAACATATTTTTGTCGCATTTAATTTTAAAAAGATCTATTTTTCTCACACTTGTTTCAATTGCAGGTAGCTTGTCGAGAGCAGATTTCGCGAGGCATCTGTTATACAAGCTTCACATCAATGGAGGAGCGTCAAATATGGTACAGGATTTATCGTGTTCAACGATATTGACGAGAATTTTGCACACAGCAAAAATCGAAAATAAAAATAAAAATCTACTGACAGAACGCGTGACGATAGTATACATATATATACAATATATAGACACCGGAATGGTTTCTGATAGTAGATTTGTTACATTGTAACCGCTTAAATCCATGAAGTAAAATGTTACAATAGCATATCAATATTTTGCGACAGTAGATTCTGTCAATATATACATCGCAGAGGGGATTGGCCATTTCAACACTGTGTCGTATTAAACTCGTGTTCCGCCAATGTATGTCTGACATAATATAACAACGGATGGTGACAGAGATCGAACTTCTCTCTCTCAGGGACCGGAAATGTCAAAGGACTATCGCCACACGGATACGTGCTGATTCGCGACGTTTCTTGAATTTAAAAAAATCTAAGGGAGAAAGAGAGAGAGAGAGAGAAAAATTTTAAAAGAGAAAAAAAATTATATACAATTAGCTTGCAATTTCGAGAATTGTAAATCGAGTTTCGAGTTAATTTGCGAAATGCATCAATTCTCTTTTTAGTTCACCTAGGACCTAGAGAATTGGAAAGTGGAGGAGAAAGAAATTCCAACGAATTACAACAAATTAACGCCTAATTTTATAGATTACAGAATTAATCCTTAGGTAGATCACACATTTCTTTCGCTTTATTCTTGATATAGGGATCATAATCTCGTCACAGTTTTAACTGTTGTCCTTGTATGCTTAAAAAGATCAATAAAAATTTCTACATCTTTTTTTTTCCAATCCTTATTGTTCTCGAGATTTATGATTTAGTGACTGTTTTAATATTATTTTAACGGAATTTTGGGTTGTCCATTGCCCATTGCTTGACACAAGGATCTGCTTCAAGATAGGCTGTGTCAGTTACTTGAATTTTAAGAAATTCAATATTTTCTGTTCTATAAAATTTTATTTGCAACGATCTGAATACCAAGAAAAGTACCATAAAAAGTAAGAAATAAATGAAGTAAAATCGAGACAAAACGAGTTTGTTCCAATCATTCAAAAATAATATCAGCTTTAATATATATATATAATAATAATTGTTTGTA